GACTTCGGCTTGGTTGATGTAGTCGCGTATGGCGCCGAGCCAACTTGTGTCACACCCGTACTCTGCGAGTTGAGTATCCACCTCCATGGGAGCAGCTTCAGAAACTGGGGGTGGCATGTCGTTGATAGTTGTGTCGGGGAGGGGTGCGAAATTTCCATCAATACTTCCCTTGGCTAGACTAGGAAGAACGTCGAGGCTTTCCACTTAGATGGCGCCAAACTGTGGAAGGTAGAATCACACAGTTAGATTTGTTTAGGGCTCGAGGAGGATGGATTCTTCCTTGTGCGAAATCACAGAACAAGAACGAGAGATTGAAGATATATTTTTTTTATTGTTGTTTCTGTCAAAACTTAAGAGTACGAGAGTTTCTGTGTAAAGAATTGCGGCTCCTTTTTCTCAAGGGAAATACATTGATATATATAGTAAACTAGGTCGGCTAGGTCAACCCTAGGGTATGCTGGGCCGCGCCGACCTGCCTGGCCCGTCTTGACATGCCTTGGGTTTAGGCCCGCCTTATTATGTTCTGGGCTTCATCTCATTAGCAGGCCTGCCTTGTGGGCTTCTGGGTTATGCCAACCCATTTCTCTATTGCAGACTCGTCATTCCTGCCTGGTAATGTTTCTGCTCTCACCAAGCTTGTCGTTCGAGCATGGTTGTGCAATCTGCCTCACCGGGTGTGTCGCATTGTCAGGCACCAGATAGCTGTGTTCGTTCAGTCGTTCCTGATTCAGTTTTTATACTTAGTCATTGCCAACTTTGATCTTACCAGGGTGAGATCCGACCCACATACTCCACATATTGAAATTAAACTTGATTTTGGTTTAGCTTAAAGAAGAGTGTAGAAGTCTCTAGAACATAATATAATCTCATCACATCCTTAAGTTTTTCTAGAACGGTAGCACCTTCTTAAATGTTTCTAGAAGGGTAACACCTCCTTAAATGTTTCTAGAGAGTTGTAAGATAGTAAGATAATAATCTAAGAGATTGTAGAGAACTCTAGAAACTTCTAAAATATCTATGAAGTAAGGAGGTTAGTAAGGAGGTTAGTAAGTGTTTCGGGAAAATTTAACCAGGTTCGCAAGTACACAGAACTACGGAATGATAGAGAGAAGTATCGTTTTATTAATCAACGAAGTAGGCTTGTAGCCGAATGGTGTTACAACGTCTATATGTCTAAAGCGTTATAAAGGACTTCGTTGGATGTGGAAAACAAGGTTAGGTCTCTGGTTGCGATCGCTGAGATGCTGTGAAGACGTAGCTCTTAGGTTTTCTCTGTGTGTTTTTCGATGCCCTCCTCTTCTCTAAGATGTCTCTATTTATAAGACTTGATCAAATCCTTTTCGGATTAGGATGAGACCTGACGTCATGATTATCTCCCTAATAATCAGGATTTTTTATATACTCGAATCATTTACCTCTTCATATTATGAAGTCAAGATAATGATGGACCTCGCTGTACTTCCCACCGCCAAGTCCATGCGAAGTTATCTTAATAGACTTGTATTTATTTTATATCAAATAACTTAACTAGTCTTGTGACGACGTCGTAACGGCGTCCACGACTTGATAACAACAAAGTAACGAGGTCTCACTTGCTATTGACAAGTGATTCTTTCATTTTACGTGACATATATGACGCATTGTCATGTATTAGCAAGTTATTACATCGTTTAGCATGTCATAGACGACGTGTAGTCAGATATTAGTCAGGTTACTATATGACTTTATCTCGTGTAGACAACCCCTCGTGAGGTATCAGTAAGCTATGACCTCGTTTTACCTGATGTAAATGATGTATTCTCAGGTAAGAGTAAGCTATGACCTCGTTCTACCTGACGTTGATGATGTATTGTCATGTAAAGGCGAGTTATTACTTCAGTTTACCTGACGTTGATGATGTATTGCCAGGTAGAGACCAGTTAGGACCTTGTTCTACCCAACATAGATGAGGTATTGGCAGGTAATAGCATGTCATCAGCTTATTAGACCAGGCCTAAATAGTGTAGAGCCAAGTCTAATATTCTAACCAGTACTAACCAAGGTCTACCAAGTAGTGAATTTATTTTTCCCAACAGTTTGTCCCCACTCTTTAATTTCTTATTTAGAACTTGAAGAGTAGTTAACATGGAACTTGGTGTGGTGGACTTTGTCTGGCGACGTATCGCTTAGACTTGACAAATTGTCTTTTCATGTTTATGTATGTATACATACTCTTTGACGTGTAGAGACGTTTAGATCTTCGATATTTCCTGACCCAGAAATATCCAGATTCACGTGATACCTTGTGGAAAAATGAACGCAAATAGAGAAATAAATACTACATCCTTTATTTCTCTTGTAGACTCACCGCCTAATTTTTATCTAGAGAGGTCCATAACCATGTAATACCACGCTGGATTTTACCTCTATTATTTTCTTTGTGAGTTTGTAGCCCAATTACTCACGTGTTTGTGACAAGATTTTGTTTTTGTTTTCCTTTTTTATATGAAGCGAGGCAACGTCTTCATGTACGTTAAAACAAGACTTGGGCCACGACTTTTAATATTAAGCCCACATAATTGTCCCAACTTGTGGCCCAAGTGTCATTGTCCATTTCGTCTTTTTCTTCCATAACTTTCGTTCTGCTTCACGAAATGAAAACCTAGCATCTGCGGCGGCTGATTTCATTTCAACATCTGGTGCTTGCTCACAACAGGTCCGTATTTCCCAACCTTGTGGTTATTCGGCACTCTGTCTTCTTACACCTCTTACGCGCTCTCTATACTTCTCTTTTCTTCTCTTATGAGAATTTGAGAAATCTCATATGTGTGAATTTCACCTCGTTTGGCAGGCAAAGTGTGCTCGTAGTACTACGTAGGGGGTCTTTTCCTCACTATTTCGCAGTTGATTCCACCAGAGCTCCTTTCATAGGTGAGTTTGCAAGAATTTTGCTTTCTTGCTGTTCGAGTCAAATAGTATGGCCGAGAGCTCTAGTCTAGTGACAAGTCCATTTGAGGTTAATTCGGGCTCAGGTGATTTTGGGAGTGTTTATGAGATTGAGCGCGAAGAGGAATATTATCCTCTTGTATATGAAGTTGAGTCATCTCCCACTGGTTTTAGAGGCGTTTCTGGCGATGTTCAGATATTGTCAGAATATCATGACTTTGACCTCTTGGACCAGCCGACGCTCTGCCTCCCATCTCCCACTTGTTGTGGTTCCAGTCTCCGCGAAGTAGACATCAACAGGATTAAGAATGCTTACAACATTTCTGAATCAGTAGACTTGAGGATTCCTTTGGAGGATGAAGGACCTAAGAATGCTTACAACATTTCTGAATCAGTAGACTTGAGGATTCCTTTGGAGGATGAAGGACCAGACTGCAACAGACCTGATGAGGTTGTAGTTTACGAAGCTTTCTTTGCACTAGGTTTACGCGACTCGGTGCCTTCCTTAGTTGCAAAGATAGCGAATTTCATTGGTATTTCCCCTGGCCAACTTAACCCACGCGCTTGGAGGTTGTTGATCGCCATCCAAGTATTTAGCGAGATTTATCCTGTGAGTTTAGGATTGGAGGAGGTTCTCTTTGTCTACTTCTTCAAATGCTATGATTCTGTTAACTACCTATACTTGATCCAGAAGAGACGTCCAGATTCAAGTCCTTTGGTATATGACCTAGACAGGCAGGTGAGGTACAAGACTCCATACGAGAAACAATGGCATAAAAAATTCCTCTTTATGCGAGTTGGTCGTGATCCTGGTTATCCTGTCACTTGGTTTCCTAGAGATAGATGAAGATTGCTGGTATAGGTTACCTCACTACTCTTTGGTTAATCTCA